CCAACTGCTCAATTACCGATGCGGATAACTTTTTACGGAAGTTTAAAGTTTGCAATGTTTAAGCTTCCATTTAATTGCAGGTGGGGAAACAATGAATTCTTGATTTGATCCTTGGATGCAAATTACTGCCATGGCAATTACAGGCCTTGAATTTTCACATCTCCTCAGAATTCTCATGAATTATTCATTGAGCGGTTTTAGAGTTAATGTCAGGAAATTACATTTACGCTGACACTAATATAATATACTGATGCGTTTGATAAATAAACGACTTGAGACATAAAGACTGCATGCACTGAGAACTATTTACAACAATATCAGCACAAATATTACATACATGCATAATATCGTACATGAATATTTAACATACATAAAATATAGTATTTTATAAGCACAATGTGTATTGCAAGACCTCTGAAAATATTGCCGCTTATCACGTGTCGCAGATTTGACGTTTCTAAGAACGCCCCACTCTAATTAATATATGTACGAAAACTTGACAGCAGCGTCATCGACTGGCATTAAAGTGAGGGATAACTATTTAATTGGTTGAAACACGTGTGAGAGACTGAAAAATATCTCTATTACTAGTAAATAATAAATTCATTTATATTGCGCATAGTTCGGTGAAAATAATAACGATGATTTGAATCTTAGTAGTTGATTCATCTTGTATATTTTCTTCTGAAGAAGATAAAAAATATCGCATTATTGTTTTACAGTAAAAAACCTCATTCTAACTCGCAACATTGTTATTGCATCAACTCATCACTGCGATTCCTGCAATCTGGCTGAAGTCACTGAAATAGTGAGTGGAAAATATATGATAATAAATTGTTCACTATATATAATGTCATACTTTAATAACTACTACGGTATATTTGACGATAGTTAGCCATGCGTGATTAGAAAACCAGTAGTATTCGCGCAGCTTTATAATATATTCAGAATATGCCTTACCCGTCTGAATTTGCGTAATCGTAACTTTTAATGCAATTTTCCAATTGTTCAACTTATTTTTCTTCATTTCTCCATGTGCTATGATGTCCATTACTGCAGCGAATGATATGAAAAATGGCTAAGCCATCATTAATAGTTATTCATAAGTGTAATAATTAGGTGGTCAATTATATTACTTTGTATGATCAATAATGATTGACTTACCATCAGATTACATTAAGTATATTAGGCTGAATGACGATACTTCAGATATTCTCGGAGCCGATTAACTTAATCCTTATTTAATTAATTGATTTAAGCTAATTAATCTAATCTTAATTTATTTTTTATCAGTTACCGCTAGACGAACTGCAAGTGATTATAAAATATAAAGAAATGAAAAAAAAATCGGAGTAAGATTAAGGTTTATTTCCAAGGAACTAGATTAAATGAATTGTAGTAAAATTTAGATAGAGGCAAAATTAGAAAAAAATGTATCACGTGCTACAGGAAATTGAAATCTAAGTCACATGATTGGAATCATTTTCTAAATATTCTTTTTTGTTATAATAAAAGTTATGCAAGTTGTGACAATGTTGTTCGTTCTTTAGATGAGAGTATACACTTTCAATCAACTAGGTAATTCAAAATATATATTTCAGTGCATTGAGTTTAGCACACTGAGATAAGTAAACTGAGGTCTGTACACTGAATTCAGTATTTCAAAATTAGTTCACTGTTCTCAGTGCAGAGTTCAGTATATTGTGTTCAGCATATCAAGTTTGACACACTGAGCTAACTCCACTGAGTTCAGTACACGGATCCTAAAATATAGATTATAATACACTGGTATCAGTAAAAACAGTTCAGGATATTGAGTTCAGTAAACCAGATTCATTACACCAAGTTCATTAGATTTATTTCAGCGCCGTCAAAGAAGTGAGTGTTTCAACAGACGTAAACTCCCCAGGGTGATGAAAGGTTGGCACGAAAAAGCGATCGCTGAGACTTGATTACTAATAATATCTCGCAGGAATAAGTGAATATCCCCTGCCAGGAGGATTGGCTGAATGATATTCTAATAACAGGTTAAAATTACTGAATATCTACTGCCAGGGTCACCTCGTTCGAGGATATCATAATAACTGGCAGGTATTCGTGAATAGCCTTTGCCACGATGATTGGCTCGATGGTATTTTAATCTCAGGCGGGTTTGGAAGAAGATTCCCTGTCAGGATGATTGGAAGACGATATTATAATCTCTCACAAATAGGTTGAAATGGGCTGGAATCACCTAGTATATAGCGGAATAGACTAGTCTAGACTGGAATAGAATAGTATAGACTGTAATATGCTAGAATTAGCAGCGATAACCTGAAATAAATTGTTATTGGCCGAAATGTGTCGGAATATATTGGTAAGGGCTGTAATTGGCTGGAATAAGCTGGAGTAGACTGGTATATTCTGGAATTGGCTCCAAATTAGTTGGTGCCGACGGCATGCAAATGCGCTAAATTCATAAATGCAAGAAAAAATATCATGTGCCTTTTAGAATAAGCATAGCAAATAGCACCAAGTTTATTTTCACAGTTTTTAAATCACTCGATTTCCTTTCAGCCGCAGATTAAGAGTGTTGCACCTATGATTAAGCTTAAGTGAATAAGCAAACCCACCAGACATTTGGTGTTGAAACCAGACATTTGGTGTTAAATTCAACGTTGTTTGGTTATAACAACTTTAATTCAACGTTGTTTCAACGTCATTTGCCTGGTGGAAACGCAATTACAGTTTTGACTAATATAAAGAGCACCTCAGACAGAGCTTAGCAATTAAGCCTGTTGTACAGGCGCACGCATTAGACTTGTTCAGAGAATATAAGCCCCCATAATGAATCAGTTTAATTTTAAATGAAGCCACCAAGTATGAAATATTTCGAACGTATATAGTTTAAGGTTCTCTTATTTTTATCATGTACCGGTATTGTAAATATGATCAAATACTGAAGAACAATTATAAATAAATGAACAACAGTTCTTCTAATTTCATCTATATGGAAACTGTGAAACAAAGCAAGTAACGAACACTGTTTAAGGAAACAGACTGATTAAACAGCAATTTAAATAATAGTAGAGAGTTAATGAAAAAAATTAATTTTCATATGAATATTAGAGTTTACTAATAGAATAGCTGATAATGGATAGTTCTGCAGAGAAGGAGTATGAATTTAAAGCTTAGCCATAGGCAAAATACGTGTCCTACTCATCATCTCATTCCAACATCATTACATTGTGTAATTTACGTTTGTGTTATGTGTTAATGGCTATTATTATATAATATATTATTATAAACTATCACGCTGCAGCTTGTTTCCCTGTACCGGAAGTATTAAAAGCTTTATTTTTAATTGGTTCTTTTATGAATACTCAAATATAACGAGCTAAATTCAAGTCTCATGCACACGCTGAGGAAAAGTCGCAAATTAGTGTCTTAGCGTTCATAAGCATTTATGAATAATCAAGTCCACCCAGCACGTGCATTTTCAAATTTTATTTATGTCAACAAAGACAAAAGGATAATCAAGCGTTCTACGTGTGATTAATCAGAAACCCCTGATAAATCCCTGTAAATCTCACCAAAATTTCCCGGATAAATTTTTTCGTCCAACGCTGACAAAAGAGCGTTGCTTCTCATATGTCATTCGTTCTTTTTTTCATTAAATTATCCGTTCATTGAATAGGAACTTTATTTATTTAATTCACACTATTTTGACACGGGAAAAAAGTGTTTGTCAATTACCTGACGTTACCGGCTTTGCAAAATGTTAAGATTTAGCGTAAAATTTCTACACATATAGTACACAATTTTCTACAGTCTACACATATCGTAGACGACACATAGACTAGTTAAGTTGTGCGTTGGCTGGGACTCATCAGTAAAGATTAATAGTTTCGTGATGGGCTTAACACATTAAAGTCCTGGGTCCATACTCTCGAAACTCGCTTTAGTACACGCAGCGGTCCAAGTACACGTAGCGGCCTAAGTGCGCGCAGCCGACTATTAGACGTCTATGATTTGTGGGCTTAGCTTGAAAATGTGGCAGTGGTTTTTAAAATGGTAACTTTACTGAAAATTCTGCTACTGGCTGATTCTATTATGTATCACCATGAAGGTTAATCAATTAAGAATTGCTTTACTGCCCTATTCAGTACATGTTCATGATGATGAAATAGGGGGGGATTCCCGGGATTTCTTTAAAATTTAGATTTGGAGGAATTGGATATTTAGATTTGGATATCTCAAATATAAGAGAGACGTATTTACTCAACGAGATTATTCTTCCATGTATTGATGAGGTCCATCAATATTTCAAATTTAAGACTTGTTGATATTCATATTATATTACTGGTTTAGGGTTACCATATGTATTATGTATTGTGAATACACTCAATGCAAAGTCTAATTTAGTATCTATTGATACAGCGGTTAACTTTAGCGATTTAATCATTACTGAGCAAAAACAAATGGGAGCTGAGGACAAGGGCTCGTATAGCCCCTCAGCACTCGTCCTTCCAAAGCTTTATTTCAATTCTACGAACCAACAAACTATTCTTCATTCACAATTTATCTTACAAATAATTTAGAATCTGTCCGTTGTTGGAATTTGTTATCGCGGATGCCACCAACTACATTTTCAATACTTTCTACCACGCCAATACTTCGCTGCGTTGCTTAGAAAAGGTTTTCCTCCCGAAAAGCGTTAATTGGGTTTGCTTGTTCGGTTAGCCCGGTGCGTCGAGTAAGCCTGTCATAGTGGAGTAACTTACCTTGTTAACCTGATACACCGGGTTAACCACCTACGCTGAGTTTACCTGAGAAACCGAACTGGCAGCTTGACGCCTGATATTGATAGTTTATATCGTTAATAATGATAGATATATTCAAGAGGCTGGGCGTCGAAGAACGGGACTACCCTCATGATTATCTCTGTATTCTGAATATACCGCCTAAAAACGCGCACTATTACGTATTATCATCTACTCAACTGAAGGCCTGGTACTCACCGTATACTGTGAGTAGCACCGTATGCGTCTGCGTGGGAGAGTCAACAAACTCAACACGGCACGTGAAACTCCCGTTGTCACCGCTGGTCACGTTGCTGAGCTCCAGGCAGCCGGGGAATGGCGGCAGGGAGGTTGTGTTCGATGGACAATGAGTGTAATGTTCACCCTCTGCGGCTGCGGGTTGGTTGAACAGCCCTAGCACTTCATGTCCCGAGTCTAATGGCCTCAGCTTTCCCAATCTCGGGACTTCGAGTCCCGAAATTTCAAGCCCTAGAGTAACATGTCCTCTAGATCCAAGTCCCAGGTGTTCGGGTCCCAATTCTTGAAGGACCGAACCTCTAACACTTCGAGGACCTCGTCGTCTTGATAACAGGAAAGGGTTGCCGGATGGGTGAAGGATTCTGGGTTTGTCCAATCGGGCATGATGTGTGAATATTTTGTGATTTAAAGTTTTAGGACCTTGGGTGGCAGTTGCATCGTGAATTGATGAATAGTGATTGTTTACGAAACCAGGATAGGGAAAATGATTTTGTAAATGAGATAATGGGATCTGAAATCCCTTCCCATGAAACGTATGCGAGACTAAAGGCTTTAGTTTTTGTTCACTTTTTAGAGTTGAATGATTAGAGGAGTATAATGTATTAAAATTCGCAATAACTGCATCGGTACTTCTTCGAAATAAATTTGCAATTCGGAGTGAGCGCCGATATCTTAAATTCGGCTTCTGGCTTAAATTTGAAGAAAAGGACTCCGTTATCGGCATAGAATGTAAACGATGGAGGTCCACAAGATGAGAAGGACTCAGGGCATTTAAAGAATACTCAGAATTTTGGTGTTTGCTGCTCTTCGTGTGGGATTTATTCATGATGAAGTGCGCTCTAGTGCCTATGCTGTTGTACTGCCTCTCGGAGCCGCTTCCGTTCCTGATGTCAAAACTGGATAAAAACTTAAAATTAATTAAAGCCTGAACATTTTTAATAACAGTGTGCTTTAGACTGACAAATTGGAGTAAAGAAGCTAAAATACCATACGCACCCATTGTCTAATGTGGCTCTTATTGCAACTTTGATTCATTTCAAATTTCAAATTAATTTTTTTTCCTGTGATTAGTTCAATATTTTAAGCCCAAAACATGGAAATTATCAATCTACTGTCGAATTTTCGTTCACAGCTGCCATGGAATATTACGAGATCACGAGAAAAAAGTCTGCTGTAATAAATGCATGCAACTCATGGCTAAGAAAGCAAAAACATATTCAAATCAGACAAAAAGGTATGGAAAATTTAATGATATAGAGCTAGGAAGACATCACCTGTAGAAGGGACGGTCGCTGTCATGCCGGAACCAGAGCACCAGCAGCGGCAGGTCGACGTTGTTAACGCGACATGGCAGCCGTGCTGTCCACCCACTCACGGCCTCTACCTTCTCCGGTATTCCTGTACCAAGAGTAATGGCTGCACTTTTCTTGTACAACAAATTAACGGTTTGAATTTTTCTTTATAGTAAGTAAGCGGATTTAATTTTCCTGTACCACAGTTAAACGGCTTTCTCTTTATTCGGATAACTTTTACGTTAGATGAGTTTAACGGTGTACCTCGAAATGTAGTTAATTGTGTATTATAGTTGATAAAATTAAGAGTTTCTATGACTGAAAAATATTGTTAGGTTCTGGTATCACCTGCTAAAAAATTATCGTATTCGTTAATCATGATCATTCAGTAATTTATTTAGATTTTATTGGTAGATTATAATATAATATTTTTTTCTTGTTCATGAGTATCTAGAAAAGATCAAATTTATTGTCATCGTTTTATATAATTTTTATTTATTAAAATCACTTGGCTGCTTAAGTCGCAAATTTTCCAGGAATTTAAAAGTAAAGAAAATAGCCAAAAAGTTCACCATTTCTTATAAGCGAAAACGTTTCGGAGTCCAGCTCCATCGTCAGTTCAAAACCTAGAACACAGGTACAATTGAATAGTTTGAATATGAATTTTAGGCTACTAATTGTTTGTACCTGTGTTCTAGGTTTTGAACTGACGATGGAGCTGGACTCCGAAACGTTTTCGCTTATAAGAAATGGTGAACTTTTTGGCTATTTTCTTTACTTTTAAATTCCTGGTAGCTTTTATTTATGATGAAGAAAACGAATGTCGACGGTACTTTTTGTGTCAGGATTTTTTCCTGGAGCTTCTGACATAGTTATTGTGGAAAATGAATTAACATTTCCCTATTAATCAGTGAACACATAAATATACCGACTGTGCAATAAAATTATATAAACTGCAAATCCATCTAACTGTTTTTGTCACTTCCGATCAAAATTTGGACTTGGCTGATATAGAAGAATTTATAAGGTGCATAATGCTATATAAAATTACGCTCATAAAGTATTATATTTCTGTATCTGCACATAGTGCACATAAAATATCATTATTTCAATTTGCAATTTCAGGTATTGCTTCTCCATGAAGCGTGCAAGTTTGACTACAATAATCACTGACTACGAGGAAAGTTAAGAGAGTGCTGCGATTGCTGTCGACTAATTTTCCTGCTAAATTTCTTCTCCGTTTAATTTTGATTTCAGGAATTAAATGTAGTGTTTATCTTTTTAATATCAGTTTCCTGTACCTTCAAATTATTTTATTTGTACCTTTAAAACTCAGATTTTTTTGGTTCATCAACACATCAAGCAAAATGGAATCGTATAAATTTACCCGAATGAGCTTGAAATTTTCGTACGTTAACCGACTAAAAGGGTAAATGTAAAAACCTCAAATGCAGGTGAACAAACTCTTTTTTCCCAAATCCTGGGCATGCACAACAGAATATCAGCGTATCACAGATGAGGTGAAACACTCTGCGTTTCTGTTCTACTGAATTTTTACTCGGTATCAATTTTCCCCTATAAACCTCTCGCATTGGCCGGCGGCGTCTTCCAGAATATGTGATGCTAATTTCATTTCCGAGATCTCTAATGCATTCTTTTTTACTGCTAAAGCTAAAAAAAGAAATGTATACTATTTATTATCATTGTGAATATTTTTATCCAGGAATTATGACCCACACAAAGACTTTTTTCCAATTAAGGTAAATTGCATCATAGGAAATCTATTAAAATTTTCCTAGACGGGATTTCGCTTGATTTATGAAACTCGAAATAAATTTAGTTTCAGAATTGCTCTATGCATTTAAAAAACCGTAAATCTACAATGAGTGAACAGATTGGTTTATTCATTTTATATTTACTAACAACGAAAATAATAATAAAAAAGAGTACGTGCATTTTTGATGCTGTTGTTTTTTTAATTATTTATTTTTTCCGCCTCTAACATAAGATTCGTATTGGAAGTGTGTCTCTACTATCTAATACAAATGATACGTTCGAATTGGAGTATTAAATAATGATATGAACAAATATTTTATAACTTTGATGTTTTTTTCATAAAACTGCACTTCTAACCAATGTAATTCTAAACAATACTACGCTGTTTTCGTAGGAAGCGGCCTAGCTGAGAGCAGTGACAGTTTTAATGTTGGTGTCATAGTTAAAGTCCTCTCAATATCGAGTAATAAAGCATTTAATACGTAAATAGCGTTGCGCGAATGTTCATACAAGTGAATGAAAACTCAAATTTCCTCAGCCAGGAAGGAAAGCGTCCAAAATTTTGTTCCTGAGAAATATTTTTGCATTCTATCCAAAGGTTTTGTGCTGAATATTGTCATTTTATGAGGAAAAGTGCTCGTTTCCTGGGGCCAAAATGCCTGTAGAAGGCGGGACAGTTTGCATTTCCGCTTTTAATTCCCGTTTAGCACGCCTTCTTTTCAACAATGAGGTGTGCCACAATTTTTACCCCGATATATACAATGAATTTATCCCAATATTGGCTACTAGAACGAATATTACTGCCAAATGATTTTCTGGGATATTGAGGTTCAAATATTTACCCTGACAAACAGGTTTTTTAAATGTTGAAAATTAATGAAGAGAAATAAATCGGCCGGGCATTACATTAGAATTAATGAGAGTTAGATATGCCCATTCACAAAATTTTTGGGTACTAGCTTTTCATTATCGGTGTAGAAACAGAAGCTGTTCTATTGAGCAAAATGTCAGCGTTTGACGAAATCTATTAAAAAACTTGTTATTTATGAATTCCAATTAAAGATTCCATAGGAAATTATCTTAGGAGTTTCCAAGTTAAAAGCATTGACGCCAGCGTACGAAGAATGAAATACAGAACATGTTCTGCGTCCGCGCTGGCTTGCCACTCGAACGGCCCTCTCTGATGTTCTGCGTCCGCGCTGGCTTGCCACTCTAACGGCCCTCTCTGATGTTCTGCGTCCGCGTTGGCTTGCCACTCTAACGGCCCTCTCTGATGTTCTGCGTCCGCGCTGGCTTGCCACTCTAACGGCCCTCTCTGATGTTCTGCGTCCGCGCTGGCTTGCCACTCTAACGGCCCTCTCTGATGTTCTGCGTCCGCGCTGGCTTGCCACTCTAACGGCCCTCTCTGATGTTCTGCGTCCGCGCTGGCTTGCCACTCTAACGGCCCTCTCTGATGTTCTGCGTCCGCGCTGGNGTAAAGTTCAGGTAAAATACTCACTATAGTCTGTAGGACTAACTCAAGTACGTAGTAAAGTTCAGGTAAAATACTCACTAGTCTGTAGGACTAACGCAAGTACGCAGTAGAGTTCAGGTAAAATATTCACTAGTCTGTAGGACTAACTCCAGTAAATATTAACCGGTAAATTTCTCTCTATTCTGCAACAATAATTATAGTCTGTAGCGATTAATCCTCTCTGAAGCAATAATTTCAGTTTGTAAGAACAAGTAAAAATTTCAGTTAGTAGCATATTAAATGGTAAATTACGTTCTAGTCTGTAGCATCTCAACAGGTGAATTACTCGCTAGTCTGTAGCAATAATTCCAGTCTCTAGCTTACTGAAAGGTGAATTACACGTAAGTCTCTAGCAAAAGTAATCATAGCCTGTAGTTTAACAGCTTTTAAATTCCTCTTAAGTATGAAACGTATTGAGTAATTTATCAGAAGCGGCACACACGTTGCTCGTCTGAACACAAGTTGCTCGTCTACAGCTTTAAACTCTATAATTCTGCAGAGACGACAGGAAAATCAATTCCATACAATTACTTATTCGTG